AGTACAAAGAAACATTTTGCTAATTATCTTATTTTTAGATGATTAATTTTCAAGGAAGACAATTTATAAAATCAAATTTCAGATAATGTTTATAACTGATGTTTCCAGGAGTTAAGAGAATAATACTATGTCAATGAAATTCTCTTCCAAAATTTATAAATTACCTATTTCTTGTGAACTACATCTAACCTTTCCATTATTAAATGATGTATATTTTTTCTCCACACTACACATATATACAATACTGACTACTACTATATTTATTTCTGAAAGTAGAAACTTANACGTATCTACCGTCTTATAGGGGGATCTACTGTAATACCTTTTGAAAACCATATTTTTAATTAAACATTTCCAAAATAGCATGGTTTCATCTACAGAATAAACCATTTAAACAAAGTTAAAAGGGGACAAACATTTAAAAATTTTAATGTCATTCTTCACCAGTAAGACGAAACTGTTTAACAAATTGTGTATGTGTACATATATGTAGGAAATATATATATAGAAAAAAATTATATAAAAATTATGAAGGCAAAAAAATGAAATGCAAATAATGTTAAATTTTCAAAAATATGTAAAAGCTATGCAAAGACAATTTTAAGCAGCAAAAAGTTTCATAACTAATATTTTTGGTCTTATTAAAAGACCAAAAACATTAGCTATTAAATAGTTTTTGCTGCTTGAAAAGGTTACAAGTGTCTTATTTACTTTTTAGGCAGTTCTTTTTATTATACTTAAACTAATTTTTAAAAAAAGCTAGGACTGTAAAACATAGATGTCTAGAATGTAGAAATCAACAACCCTTAATCCTGCAAAGCATTAAGAAATTAAAACTTAAATATACTCAATTGCATTTAATAGCTGTCTTTAGGGTTTAAATACACAGCAAAAATCAATGAGTGATTACAGGATGTAGTATCACATGTATATCCAATTTAAAATGTTTACATTTACTTAAACAATTACTAAAACTAGTTGATGATTTAATAAATATACAAAGTTAAAAAAATAATCATTACACAGTTGGCCTAAATGAGTTTAACGATTGCACATGTAACAGTTACATATATATTGTGATATGTAATCATGCTTTGTATATTTGTTAAGCTATCAATTACTCTTAGTAATCATTCAGTTTAAATGGAAACATATGTTAAATCAAATTTACACATTCAACCATTCATTTTATTTTTTGTTCTACATGTACACCTGATGACGGATAACGAATGTGGCCAGAACTTTTTGGGTTTTACTCTTACTTTAAAAAAAGTTAAAAATTAAACTAAAATTAGTGATAAGAAAATGTCATGTGGTGCACAGTTTTAATATTAGATTTGTTTCCTTCTATAAATCATAGTAAACAAGAATTGGTAAAACTGTCCAAAAAGTTAGCTATTGTTTCAATACATATTTTTGCTACAGCACAAGTGACGCAAACAGAATTTTAATTATTTTTCTCAGAGTTAAACTGAATAGAAACTTAAATTTCATAGAATTACATCACTCCTATTTTTTTATTCTCTTATCACACTCAATCATTTGAAAATGCTGGTTTGATGAATAACTGATTTTAAAAATGATTTCATTTTAAAACTTCTAATTTGAATTCTTCCCATATATTCTATAATTAAAAAATCAGTGGTTATGTAGCCTCCATCAAGGTCATCTGCATGATCATTACTGGTTTAACAATTGGTTCTGTATACAGACAGAGAAGAACAAAGTTCTAAACACTAAAAATCATTATATTTGTTGCAACAAAACTTATATCATCATAATATAGTATTTTATTCTAAAAAATGCTTTTATACAATTCATTAGTTTTAAATAGTTTAAAATCCTAATAATCAATCATACCCTTTTAAACCAGTTGAAAGTTTTGATATATATTATATAACTAAAAATGTCAATAATCAAGTTTTGAAATGAAAAAATTTAAATAGAATTGAACAAAAATTCAGAAGAATAAAACAAAATGTTAGGAATATAAAATATGAACAACACAGTATTACAAAATAAACCAAATAAAGTAGTAATAAAATATGAATGTTTAGGATATCTTCTAATATATAAAATGATGAAAATGTTATTTGATAAGATATTTCCATATAATTGGCAGAGATTCAATACCTTTTTTAGTTTTTATAGTAGTTTCTCTCTGTAAAAAACTACAAATTAAACTTCCTACATGTATAAATCATCATTTAATTACAAATTTGAATCGCTATCCTTGTATTTGAAGGAAACTGTTTATGAAAATACTTTCCTTTTAAACATTTTGCATAAAAATGAAAATTTATTAGTAACACTAACTCACTTTCATTAATTTAGTAATATTTTATTTTAGCATTATTGAAGTTTTAACCATAACCACTCTTGATTATTGAAAAATGAAATATCAAATATGTAAATAATAAATTTAGATTTCAGTCTGATTTAATCACAGTCTATTCAGTTATGTTATAATACATAATATTAAAAAAACTTTTAAATTATATAATTAAATAATTGTCATACAAGAAGGAATTTTATTTTGATACAAATCTTAGATCTTTTTGCCTCAAACTTTTAGGATAATATATGCAAAAACATTTTAACATGATAATTAGGAGTAAAAAGTCAGAAAATTTTATTTTTATTCTGGTTCACTTTCAATAATACATTATCCAATTTATGTAAATCTTAAATTTTTATATATAATTATTAAAATTTAGTGTTTATTATGATGATAAAAGTTTTTAATTCCTTAACATATTTTATTATTTGATAATTATATTTATAACAGCAACTTTCATAGAAATATAATGAGAGAATTTTATTATTTTTGCAAATAAATTTCTAATAAAGTATTTCTTAAAAGTACAGTACATGTAGCTATCATATCTACTTTACTATTATATGATCCTTTTAATTCAAATATTTATCAGATTTTGAATAAAACAAATGTAAGCAGTTGTAATGGATAAACAATCTAATTAATGCATTTATAATACAATACAAGTAATTTTATTTTAATTTAATAAACTTATGTTAACTCATTAATATAATTACTAAAAGTGTACTAAAATTAACTCTCAAAACCATAAATTCATAATCTTGCATTAAGCTATACACAATTACTATTTTTCTATTTATGTTAATGTGTGTTTTAAAAATACTTATCGATAAATAACATTATTGAAAATGTAACTTATAAAATCAGTTGCCATTCTAATCATTCATAACTAAATATGTTGAAAATAAATTCTATTGTTGTTTTAGCTATTTAAATATCTAATAATTTTAAATTAAAATTAAAAATAAAATTTTATTACTCATTCAAATTTATAAAATTTACAATAAATATATATTTTTTTCTAATACACTTTAATAATTACTTTAAAAAGTCATTTGAGAAAAAAATCATCTTCAAAAACTGATCACATTTCTTTAGAATGTACTTATTATAATGGTACTTATTTTGAATTAATAATATAAAGCATTAAGTTTTGAATTATATTATATAATAATAAAATTAAAGGCTCTACTTAGAATAAAAGTAGGCAAAATAAACTTGTAAAAACAAAATTAATATTAGCAAGTGTTTTATGTTGAAAAGCGGATTTATCATAGTTCAATAAAGCCGCTTTCCATCTTATACGAAAAAGTCGGGAAGAATCAACAAATCTGTCAACAAAAACATGAGAAACAAGAGAAATAATTAGTTACATTATACAGCGAGACTTCGGTTTTCATCAATAATCCGTCCAAAAACAATTGGCAAAATCCGAAACTGACAAAAACAGAGGTAATTATTTCCATACAAATCAATGCAAATCCAATTAATTCATTCTAGACACTCCAAAATACCAAGATCACATTTTATAGAGAATAAATATTGCATTTAATACAAAAAATAAAGAAATTAATATAAAATGAATACAAAATAATTTATTCTTTACAAACTGATGTAAAGAATAAATGAACATTAAACGTAGCATTTAACATGGCATTCCTAGGCTGCTGGCTCTGGAAACTTTCTTCAGTCCCACGATGGAGCTAAAAGAAAAGGAATGCAATGGAATTGTTTGGCTAGATAAGTGGGCTAATGCTCACACAACGAGAAACTGCACCACACCAAGCAGGAAAATGCGTGGGTATTCCTATATTTTTGCAAAATTAGCAAGAGGTGACTTGGTCGTGCCAAGAAATCAGTGACAAATTTTCCATTAAAAAAAAAACCGAAACTGATAATAACCAAAGTCAATGAAAACAGAGATATTACTGTATATACACACACACTTTAATAAAGAGACACATATGTATTTATTAAAGTGTAAAAGTGCAAAAAATAACACTTTTAATACAACATGCACTATGTGGGAATTATTTTGAACCAACATTCTGGAATCCCATCGTTATTTGTAGAAAGAACACAAAGTCTGCTAATTAGCCAAAAACATTGGATTCTTGAGAAAATTAAATGTCGGATTGTAAAGATTCTTTCAGTTTTTTTTTTAGTTATATTGTCTAGTTTGAAATTGCATTTGTTTTTAATATGGAAGAACAAGATTATATACACTCTGCTAGAATAATAATAAAGTAAGTAAGAAAGATTTATTCATTTATACAAACATTTATTTTATAAAATTGCTATTATAGTAGAAAATAATAATTTAAAACAATTTCACAAACGCTAGCATCTTTCTTTACATTTAAAACAGAATAATAATGAAATATAATTTAGTTTTAAAGCTTTAAAGTTAATTAACTCAGCAAACAAAACTTCATTATCAAAGTTTCAGGTCAAAGACAATTAGCCTCTGTAATATTATATTATATAGAATTTAATAAATTGTATATAAACTCATTACACTCTCTTCTTAATATAATTTTCATTCAACTAAAGGCATTTATAATTTAAAATTACTAATTAATACATTTTTAACTTATTATTTAATAATTCGTAGATATTTAGCGATTAGGAGTAATTAGGAACACGTTAGATATTTACATACCTTTTATTTATACGGGAAAAACTGATTATAATCAAACACAAACAGTGACAGATAGCACCAACAACAAAATGGCTGCTCGGTCGGGGTGGGGCTAATGCGCATGCTCAAAAACGATGACAATTTTATTTTAATTTTCGTCTGTCGAGTGGAGCTTTAATAAAAATCACATGTCCCGTCTTTGTATATTTTTTTCTGAATATTTTATATATAATAATATTAATTTTCTTATATTCGTTTAATTATTTTAATATTATAAAAATAAGTTACGATATTAATATAGTTAAAAATCATGTTTTCGATAGAAGTGATTCGGATTTTTCAATTTTTTAAATAAATGGCGCCATTTATTTAAAAAGTTTGTTATGAATATTCGTAATTAAAGAGTTTTAAATAGAAAACTAAAATGCATTTAATTAATAATAATCATAAAATAAAATATATTGTTCATTTTTTTCATACTTTTTTCGTCCCGTGCACACTGAGAGGGTCTTTTTCAATGTCCATTATTGGTTCCTATAGGCTCATAACAGAGATGGCCGAGTGGTGAAAGACAAAGCTCAATATAATTGGGAAGGACCACTCACAAAAAATTCCTGAGATTGCTCTTCCAGACTTGACGTTGGGTTCCTTAGTAGAGTGATCATTCCCAATCTGCCGTCCTTTAAAAGTTCCTAGAAATTTCAACTAGAATGCACCTAAAAATGAATTCATGTACGAATGAAATTTTCTCATTGTAGAAGGGAAACTTCTTATACATATAATATAAATTTTAAAAATTAACTTTTAACAGTAGAAATACAATTCCACAACTCAATTTTCGAAATATAAATCATGACAATCAGAATTTGGACTATATATATGTATTCTCAATAAATCTTGAAAGTTCTGATTCCGATAGACCTAGACATTCACAAGATATACACAAAATGGCCGAAATAAGCGAAAATAGACCATTCTGTCATTTTTGACTTATTGAAATTAAGTCAAGAATGGACTTAATTCCACAACTGAATTTAAATCCGAAATATATTTTTTAATGTAGTCTACCTTTATTATATTAGGAATTGAATATATATATTTTTCAAAAGAAAATTTCGAGGAAAAACATTTGGCAGCTAATTTACATTTTAAGATGTTCTAAAGAATTTCTCGTTGTAAATCCCTTAAAACATTCAATCCATTTTTATAAATTTCACAGTAATATAAAACTTAAGAATTAAAGTAATTATGACTAAAGTTCAGAAAGGAAACTTGGCAAACTGTGAGATAATTGCTTTTTTGTGCTCGTTCGTATGATTGATCGAATGTCCTTCTGATAGATGTATTGAACTTGTCGACTTTCAATTAGCGTAAACGAGAATAATCTATCAAAACGTACGTACGATTGATTTTTCGAATAAAAGAATATTCAATTATATATTCAAAATCGATACGAAAATAGTAAGAATAATCGATTTAATGTTGTAAATGTTTTCAATTATTAGAGAAGTTAATATATAATTTAATTTTACAATTCAGTACATCAAATCATATTAAACTAATTACTGGATTATTCAATCGGATCTACAATACTGGCACAATACCAAAAGACTGGTTAAAATCAACCTTTGTAACAATCCCTAAAACAAGTCATCCTAAAAGTTGTAGCGACTACAGACTCATTAGTCTCATGTGCCATGTTCTGAAGATATTTCTACATATTATACACGCCAGGATATATAAAAAATGTGAAATTGATCTCGAGGAAACTCAATTTGGATTCAGAAATGCTTTTGGAACAAGAGAAGCGTTGTTTAGTATCAACGTCCTTCTCCAGAGATGTCGTGAACAACAAAAAGACATATTTGCTTGTTTCATCGACTATGAAAAGGCTTTCGATAGTGTGAAACACTCCAAATTAATAGAGATCCTACACCAAGTTCAATTAGATGGCAAGGACATCAGAATAATTCAAAATTTATACTGGGGTCAAACAGCAGAAGTCAAGTTAGGAACAATGAAAACAGCAGAAATTGAAATACAGAGAGGAGTCCGGCAGGGCTGCATTCTTTCGCCCTTATTGTTTAATCTGTACTCAGACAAAATCTTCAAAAATGCCTTAGAAAACTCAAATTATGGGATTAAAATCAACGGCGTAATTCTTAACGTCATTAGATATGCTGATGATACACTAATCATATGCGACAGCCTAGAAGGCTTACAGGTACTACTAAACAAAATTAACTAAGCAGGAATTGATGCCGGTCTCAAAATAAATGCAAACAAAACTAAATTTATGATTTTTAGTCAGACCCCACACAGAGAGGCACAACTTGTTTTTGACCAAAAAAAAAAAAAAAACAATGGTCGTGGAAAACAACAATGTTTAGTTTGAGTGCAACCCACCAGTGAACACTCGGTTGCAGATTCGTGCTTCACCAAGGCACTGGAGTTTTTCGGATTTTCTTCACGTGTCTAATTATAAACGTCCTCCCGAGAGGTATTCTGCTCTTGACAGATTGATTGTCCATTTGTTGCGTTGCCTTAAACAATCAGTCTAATCTATTCTTAATGTTTCAGGATGTTACACAACTGCTTGCACGTAAAGAATGATATTTAAAATACAAAAATATAACTACTCTGGGCAGTAGTATTGAAGTGCAGTGGAACATGTTTTCCTTGCCGGGACAAATGTTAACACCTATACAATGAAGAATGTCGGATAAAATATTTGAAAACTTTGTATTCTGGGACATCAGCTACATTACCTTTTATATTAGTTAATTATTCTAGTTAACTACTTTTTATATAGTTAGTGTCCATCATTACTTAAGTGAGATTTGAAGTGTTTTAGAGAGAAAATGACACAAATTAGTCCTGCAGCAGAAGTAAAACATTGGGTGCTAGAGGGGCAAGCTGAAAAAATTACGACTGTTATTTTCCTCTTTTCCAGCCAGCACTAGACTTATTACAGTCCAAATGTTAAAAAGATAACAATAGCCTAATTTCACGTGATAAAAGATAAAGTATATATTATATATACATATGGGCGCTACTAAGCTGAGAGGCGTAGCCATCATAGCACCCCTGAAGCTATAGTACTATGAATTTACAGTTTTCATTTTCATCACTTATTACACTTACAAACAGTTGCATTTGTTCAGGGGCGGATCTACATAGGGACAAATAGGGCTTAATTAATCACCCGGTATTTCTTCAAAATATTACAAAATAAACGGATTATTTGATGTCAAATATACATTTACAGGGAATCATGTACAGTATAAATGTACTTAATTTATTTAATATGACGATAAATTTCGTTACTTGATCTAGAGTTAAAAATAATAACTTTATATTTTCTTTCATTCAGAAGTTATAAAATGAAAATTCATACTTAAAGAATATTAAAATACGAAATAAAAAATAATTTCGTTCAATTAAGTTTTAAAGTAGAAATTATTTAAAAATTTTTTTGTTTTATATAAAACAAAAATGAATTTATTATAATATTTAATCCTACAAATAACTTTTTTATAAATAAATAAATAACTTAGTACAAAATCGGATTACAATAGAATGCCAATTATCCGAAATAATCGGGGCAGAATACTTTTTTGAATTCTGTCCTGTGGGCAGTAAGAGAGCTTTTTCTTAGTAAGACCATTATGAGTTCGACCCTGCCCATAATGGGGCGACTGTTTAGGGAGGGTCTGTTGTCACCTTAATCGTTCCGCTCGTTCTACAAAATGCCACAAAGTAATTCATGTTGAAGTTATCTGTATAACCTGCATCAGGGGTTGCGAACTTATCATCTGGCACATAACATATCATACGATTTCGATTTGTCATCTGTCTTTTTCAATCATCCTATTAGTTTATCACATGATTATCCTTTTTTTTCAATCAGAGTTTTTACATTTATTCTAATTAAAGCATATTCATTTAATTTCTTTCAATATTGTTATATGAAGTCTAAAACTTTGGCACGCATAAACATCTTACTACTTGGCACACGGGCTCAAAAACGTTCTCCATCCCTGGCCTATATTTTTCCATTCTCTAAATAAATGCTAATGTTTCACTTCTGGAAACTATTCTCTCTTTTAAGCTCTTTTTAGAGTTTCGACTGTTTTCAGATGAGGGTTAAAAATTTTCACTTTTACAATACGCAAAACGAACCACCACTTGGAGGAAGCCATATCAGATTCACGTCCAATCTATTCTCTAATCAATTTGTCAAAATATTCTCTAATTGCGAGATCAGAACAGGGTCTTATGTATAGTGACTTTGTGATCACTCTGTGTATCCAATATTTAATTATTATTTAATGAAAATATTTGGTACACAAGTCACAATATGTAATTGCTGTTCTCTTTGTTATATTATTCTACTACATGATTCAAAATGGACTTATTATTATTAATTTTATCTTATTATATGCCGGTAGTTCTTTACTGATTGCAATTTAATTATATTCAAATAATGCTGATTTACGAATTATCGATGTTACTGAAATGTTTATTTATGGACAGAATTTATAATAATTTGTGAAGTGTATGTCGACTTCCATAACAAGAAACTACTATTCTGAAATTATCCCAAGTTAAAAAAATATTAAAAGCCTGTTACACATCCTATGGATACTACTATGCTTTTTGTCATTCAAAACAAATACAATTTTATCTGTTCACTAGCTGTTACCCGCGACTTCGTCCGCGGAGGTTTTGTAAGCAAATCCCATTTACATTCAATATTTCAATAACCATAGTAATTGTTATATAACACCTGCCGCTGAAGAGAATTGCCGAGAATCAAACGAACTATTTTCAATTTGATCAATTTTCTGGAACGTTTACAATCGTTTTAAAATCGAACCAATATGCAATAACAAATTCGAATTTAAAACGGTTCGAACATTTTTAAAATTGAAATAGATAAAAATACTTATAACAATGTCTGAAATGTTATCAATTTAATACACCTAAGTACTCAATGAAGACTAAACGTAGTTGAAAACAAAAAATCGCATCTAAAATAGTACAGTAGAAGCCGTTCTTCCGGTTAAGCTTAATCCTCTCCCTCTCCCCCCGCGGGAGAATTTAGAAAAATCCCTTCTTAGTGTCCATT